AAGAAGAAGAAGAAGAAGAAGAAGCAAGATTAGAAAACAAAATGGTAACAAACACCTGGGAGACAGCGTGTGGTCAGAGGTCAACTTACCAGCCTTTCAATAGCAGTCAGGGCTTCCATGCCAGTGGGCAGTTCAGTGAGTTTGTTGTGACTAGTATCCAACCAGACGAGACTCTGTAACTTAACGAGAGTTGGCGGAAGGCAGGTAAGTTTGTTGGACCTACAAGAAGAAATAAAGGTTGATTGCATCACCCAAGCCTCAAGACATTTTTGATCAGAGTCAAACACCCTAATCATTGAATTGCGATCTCTTTTCCGGCAATACTATCTGCCTACTACTAGCTGTTACGGCTGTCAGGGCCCTCGTCGAGGCCCAGGACAGGACGGGACAGATGACTTCCATTAACGGTCAGGTGAACTTTCATCAACGAGTAATCGAAATGCATCAGTTCACTGACTGACTGACCGCAGGTAACTGAGGACTCACGCCCTGGAAGCACGACTCAAGGGTAGACTCAAGCACACACACATGCATTGACAACTCGTTAACTGGGCGGAATAAAGATGAGTGCGCCAGCCTCGCTATGAGCTATAAAAAGCATTTTTAGATAAGCCAAAAACCCTGGTCGAAGAACAACCTACGTTTGCGGAGACTTCTAGCAGGTAAGTTTACAGGAAGCTACTTTCGAATATGTTTTGGGAATACCGATGTTGCGGGCATCCCTTGAATGACGGCATTTGTTATTACTCCCAATAATGCTTGATTTATGAACCAGTAGACCAGCACAAAGTAAGGTCACAGCGAATAGATATAGCAAGTTGGAGCTATCAGGTGTCGGTAAAACAGAAAGTAAAAGCCGTATGCACGAAATGAGTAATGACTTTGAAAACTGCCTATAAAGTCAAATTCATAAGTAAAACTTAATGACTAGGTCCAAGAATCTTCATGTCTAACATTTTCAAAATTATTACGCAGAGAATCAGAGAATACCTACTTAGTAGCATGCATATTCGATAAGAACATCCAATAGGTGTAACCGAAGCGATGAAAATAAACTATTATTTAGACAGTTAAAAAATAAAAAGGGATTTGACTAATTATAGCCGCTCGGTTCTTCTAACTACCTCCGGTGGAATGTCCCCTAAAAACAAGGTCGGATCCCCTATTCTGAATTGTCATTGTTGAGTTAGAAAAGCGGAGTGTCGTTGGGCTACCTGTGACCTCTTTTGGAGCAGACCTTCAGTCACTAAAAGCCTTAAAGGCCATCAAAGAGATAATTTTGGACCAATAAATTATTCAAGATGTTATGTGTTTTATAACGTAATCATGGATTTTCTACTACACAATTGTTTCACTGTACTATAATTATACATCCGACTTCCAGAAATATATATAAAGTGTAAATGTCTATTAATTTTGGAAATGGTCTACTTCAGTAGAGGAAAACAAGCGCTATTTAAATATCCGGAAGCCACTGGAAATATTTGGTCATCGAGAAGCGAAGCTTACCGAATTGTGATAGTGAATTCTCACTGCTCTCGATTATAGGAAACGTTCTAAAAGGTAGCCAACCAGACATAAAAATTACTTAGTCCAAATTTAACTCTATGCGTGGCAGATTTTTACAATTTAAGAACCGACTACTAACAAATTAAACCGTTGAATAATGAGCAAGTACATACGGCATGTTCGGAAAACTTTAGATCTGAAACCTTCCGGCTACTTGAAGCAAGCCCCTGAGGTGAAAATGAGTTCATACTCGGCATGCTTTTATGTGTCAAGGTTCGGCGTCGTACATCATAAGAAAATCATGCTTCACTTTAACCACCCATCCTGTTTATTGAAAAAGGTCTATTCATCTGTTGGCGAGTTTTGGGGGAACAAGTGGAGCACGATTCCTATTTCGTTCCCCTTGATTTATGTGTTCCGTATTTTTTGGGCTGAAAGTATAGCTAAATAATCCGGTATACAAGCTAAAATAGATGAGATAACTCTACTTCATAAACTACAGCAAACCTTGAATAGTATTTTTCAAAGAATCCGGCAAAATAAAACTCACGCGACAACAAGCTGTTTCAGGCTTAGAAGGGCTTCAATTTCATCTGGAAGTTCAGTTAGCAGGTTATCGCGGAGCTGTGGTGAGTAAAAAGTTAAAAAATTCTGGTTAATTATATAATGTATTCATATGAAAAATTAAAAGGCTGCTTCTTTATGCGGATGAGTTTCGTGGAAAGTGGCCATAAGGTTGTTTACTTGCAGGTCAAACTTTACTGAACATACTTTATGATATGCATTGATGAGGAACGAAATACTGAAGTAGAAAACATGACGAATAGTCACGGATCTTCGCAGTTTTTTTTTACTTTGCATCTGCCGATAAGGTAAAAGGAATAGTTCCCAATTACCTGGAATAAATTACGCACTGTTTGAAAAAATCTCCCTTAGTCGTTTTTGTCAATAAAGTTGTTTTGTGAAATTTAAAACAGCGTCAACTAAGCAAATATACATAACGAATTTGATACAGAATATATGTAAAAACTCACATCTAGAATAGTAAGCGTGTCCAATTGGGCTAGGCCCTGACCGTCCAACTTGCTGAGTTTATTGGATGCAAGCGAGAGCCTTTCAATCGGCTGAGTTTCCCACCAGCGGGTATCATCACCAGCTGACTCAAAACTAACGACCTGCTCAGCGGGTGGAAGTGGTGTGTTTAGGGTCCATATAATTGGAGGTACTAAAGGTAACAGTAGACAGAATTATAATTTGGTATTGAGAATGGTATAGCATATAATCAGCGAATTAGGGTCTAATCAAGAATTCTCTAACTGAATTTAGCTGTGGACAGCATTGTTCCTGCGAAGGTATATAAATGTGGAAAAGAACAATTGAAGGCTTAAGTTTACATACTGAAAAACAGAAAAATAGTCTAATTAGTCAACGCAAATATGCTGCAGATGAACAGTTGTATGAACCTTACTGTTTTGTGATCAAATGGATCAGGTAGCTTTAAACTTAAGGAAATGGAACAGAGACAAAAGTAAGCTGCGATCACGAGGGTCACTATTCAGACGACGAACGTTTGTCAACTAAACAGTGCCTTTCGTGAGTG